TGTGGATGTGTAACCGATGTGATTCTGCAACTTGTATTTGGGGTAAAAATGGGAGTTCATAACCCACTTGAATCAAATGTATGAAAGATGATATGTCATGAGCTATGTAATGTTTTGAACAACCAATTACAAAAGCAATTTACAAGTATCTAATAGATAATGGTACAGAGTAAACATTTCCATTCATAAAATTATGAGCATAGAAAAAGAAAGACCAGAATTGAGCTGGGCAAATCAGTTCGTAGCTCCATATCCGGTATCTGGGGCACATTGGCATCGTGATGTTCTCTCCAAAGGACTTCTGTAAACCAGAGAAAGTTTGAAATATTTGTAAAAGTGAACACAAGAGAAGCAGGAGACAGGTAGCAGATGTCTTCTGTAAAGAAGAAGAAATAAAAACTTAATTGAAAGCAATAAAAAATGAGAGGAAGAGGGAACAGGAAAATGTGGCTATTAGTGAAGAGAGTGATGATGGTGCAATAAGGAAAAAAGTCAAGGTTTGAAAGACAAAAGTTAAGACCAAAACAACTCAACTGTATGATGATATCCCACCAAGGTTCAATAATAAGCAAGTGAAGATGGAAACAATTAACATGAAAGTAAAATTATGTGAATTTTACTTTATATGAATATGTGTATGTGTATCTCCTGTCCACACAGTGAGAGCCCCTCCTCATAAACACATACACATATACAAAATATCTCACAGAATGGAAAAAGAGTAAAAAATAATAAAACATAATGAAATAATATTTGAAAAAAATTAAAGCTAAAATTTTTTTTTAAATATTGACCTTTGGAGCTCTCTGGCGGGTTTAATATTTGATCCATACCCCCTGTTGCTGGGGAAATGCTGGTCATGGATGATGTCTGGGTCTTAGGGGCCTCTAGCAAAATCAACTTTTAGGTTATAGCAACTTACACCTCCACAGGTTTTACATTCACCACTATGAATATGAATTACCAGGAATCAGCCCTGAAGTGTAGATGCTCTTGTGTAGCTGTTATTGGCATCTTCCAAGTAGCTCTTATGGAGCACAAGCAATAAAGGGAGATTTTTCTCCTTGATTTGTGCAGCCTATATGTTCCAGGCACAATTTTTTCTTTGCACCTATTTTAGTCAGTTTGGTTGGGGCACATTCAGGGGATCATAATAGGCAAGTGCTGTGTTCCCTGGCAACTTCCTCTGTCTCCATTTGCTGCCATGAATTACTTACAAATGGCTCCAATGCAGGTAACTTTGGTTCCCACTGAACTATCTGCCCATGGACAGAGCGATTTTGGTTGATTTTCACTCAACCACTTCCTCCACTGACTCTGGGTTTCTTAAGATCAGTTTCCTAATCTATAGGCCCCCCAGGACTTTTTTTTTAACCACCATGGTTTCCTCTCTCTATCTGCATGTGTTTCACCCTCCCTTCAGCAGCCACCTCTGTGGCTATTGCCAGCCAAGCTGGAGCTTCTCTGATGTATTCTTTCTGATATTATTTTCAAAGTTTCTGACTTTCTGTGTCTCTCTGGTTTCTTTTACTGTCCGTTATTAAGTTTCAGTGAATTCCCTTAGTTATCTGCCTCAATCAGGAGCAGTCTTTTAAGTCTAGTGCAAATGAACTGTGGAGGAACTGATTCCTTCCTCTAATCCACCTTCTGTGTGTGTGTGTGTGTGTGTGTGCACACACGCGCATGTGTGTCTTTCTCTCTTTCTCTCTCTTTCATGACATATTTTTAAAGTGTTGAATTTGATTTTTAAGCATCTTATTCAGGATTTTTGCATCTATATTCATCAAGGATACTTGGCTATATTTTTCTTTTTGTTCTTGTCATGTTTTTATCAAATTTCGGTGGCTCCACAGAATGAGTTTGGAAGAGTATCTTTTCTTTATGTTTTATGGACTTGCTTGAGGAGCATTGGTTTTAGTTTTTAAAAGTGGCAGGCAATTTCTTCTACCCTGAACTTTTCTTCATTGGAAGACTTTGTTACTGTTTGAATCTCATTTCTTATTATTGATCTGTTTAGATTTTTTTCTATTCTTATACCTCAATTTTGGTAGGACATATGCGTCTAGGAATTTGTCTACTTGATCTAAATTTATAATTATCTGTAAAATAGCTTTTCAAAATATTTTCTAGGGATTGCCTGTATGTCAATGCTGCCTTTTTTAATATCCCCTTTCCATCTCTAATTTTACATGCTTGGCTAGTTTTGTTAAAGGTGTGCCAATTCTGTTTATTTTTTGAAAGGAAAAACTCTTTGTTTTATTGATCCTTTCTATTGCTCTTTTTGTTCCTTATTAATCTATTTCAGTTCTGATTTTTTAGGATTTATTTCCTTTTACACAATTTATTTCCTTTACACAAAAATTTCATTTGTTTTTGTTTTCTAGGACATTGAGGTACAATATTACATTATTTATTTGAAATTCCTCCATTCTTTTTTTAATGTGTGTACTCATAGTTATAAATGATGTTTTTACTACTGCTTTCACTGTATCCCACAAATTGTGATATTTTGTGTTTCTATTTCAATTAACTTCTATGAATTTTTTAAATTCAGGCTGAAGATATTTTCAATAATCTATTGTTTATTCAAAGGTGTATTATTTAATATATATGTGTTTGTGTAATTTCTCTTATTGTCAGTTTCAGTTTCATTATGTCATAATTTTTATATAGTAGTCCATTAAAATGCAATAAATCATTTACATTTTTTGCATTGGTTAATGCTTGCTTTAAATCCAAAACTATAATGTATCTTAGAAAATGCACAATGTGCAAATAAAAATAATGTGTATTGTCCAACTGTTGGGTGGAATACTCTATACGTGTTACAGCCACTTGTTGTATAATGTAATCTAACCTTATGTTTGCTTGTTGATGTCTTGTCTGGATGGCCAGTCTATTAGTGAGAATGACATATTAAGATACCACTAGCATTTTGCTCAAGTTTATTTTCCCTTTATATCCTATAAGATTTGTTTTATAAAATTCTGTGTTCTATTACATATGCATTTATAATCATTATATCTTCAACTTACCACTATGTAGTTACCTTCTTTGTCTCTTCTAATTTTGAAGTGTGCTTTTCATATATGATCATATATGGTCACCATCATGACTAAGAAAGAAGAAAAAAACAACAATAACGACAACATAAAATTAACAAGCTACATAAATACAGTAATAATCATTCTACTCAATAGCAACTAAAATAGAAGTAACCATGGATAAGGGGGAAAATAAATTAATAGGAGTAAAAAGTTAATAAAAGAAAAATTAATTCAAGAAGGAAAATAAATAGGGGGAATATTTGGAATGGGAAAAAGAAAAATGTATGTGAAGAAACAGAAAAATGAGAAATAAAAAAGAGAAAACCCCTTTAAAGACTTTTTAAAATAAATCAATAGTTTAAAAAATAATAAGATATAAATAATAGTTTAATATAATAAGATATAAATAATTTAAAATGTGTCAAAAATTCTTCCCAGGTAAAATATTTACACTGGAGACACCTCTTTGCAGGTGAGCTAACATTTGAATGCACCAGGTATGTGGGGTTAGTAGCCTACAAAAGAAACCAATTGTAGTTCCTCCTCTTTCCACCAAATATTCTGGGATTTGGTGTGATGTGCTGGCTGCACTGTGCTCCTCATTTCCTGGAGGGTAAGGGAAGGTTGATGGGGCTGGCCATCACACCACAGGGATTTTGTTAGCAAACCTGGGGAGCATTGCAAAACAGAAGTCAAAGTCACCACAAGTCCTTCTTTAAGTGCTTTGAGAATCCAACTGGTGGGCACACACTGGCACACACTTGTTCCAGAGGCCTCTAGTCATTGGCCATGGAAGTGTCCTAGTCATGGTGAATCAATCCTTGGAATGCCTGTGAAAAGTGGTGTAAGCAATCAAACCACTGAGCTCCACCGTGGAGAGAGGATGTGGGAATGCAGTGAACTGTCAGATGTGTTCTCTGAGCTCTCTCCATATGTGCAAGCACATGTGAATGGAATCACTATTCTTCACAGAGAGAAGGACCACTTCCTAATGAGGCTTCCAGTGGCTTTCCTGCCACTCAATCCTCTCAGTTTGTTTGCAACAGGCACTCTCCCTATCTGAGACAATAGAGTGCTAACATTCCCCCCACCATCACTGTAGCAAGGTGACCCAGGGACCCTGAATTGACCTATATTTTCTAATCCCTGCACAGTTTATTCCCTACAATAGGCCCTTTCTCAAGATAGCTTCTGCTTATGGCACTATGAGAGCTCGTAGAACATTGTCATGAATTCTCTAAAGCTCTGTTGTTGTGCAGGAGGAGTCTCTCTCAGAACAATTCCCCAAACTTGATCTAAAGCTTATAAGAACCATGTGTTTCACCCACAGCTAAGACTGCTGCTCTGCTGACACCATCTGGGTTGTCTGCACTCTCCAGCTTACCTTATGCTTGCAGATTGCCTCCCTCACCAGGCAGCTGAAGTTGATCCTGTAAATTACTTTGTACATTTTTATGGGCTGCCTTAATGCTTCTCTGGATTATTTAGAATTCTAATAATTTCTTTAATTAGTCCCAAGTCTTCTCTTTCTTTTCTTAGAATACAGTTTCCACTGTGTTCCCTTATTCTTTTCATTCTCAGAGTCACAACAAAGGTAATTCTATTCTGCAATTTCCCTCCCTCATTAAGAACTCCTATTTTTGAATAACAACAACTCCTGACAGGAAATCCAAGCCATTATTTTAAAAAGTAACATTCAATGATTCCTAGTGGCATCTGAGCAATGTCAGCATCTGACATCATATTTTTGGTAGGTTGCACAGTCTACCTAAAGTGAACACAGATTTGAAACAAAATATTCAGATCTGAACTCTGAAATGTAGAATCATTAGTGAAATATTTTGAAGGAAACCATAATCTGACTTGTGATCCATTCATTTTCAGTCTTAATATCTATATAATTATGTATTTCCCTGGATTCATAGTGGTCACCTGAGACTTCTGATGATCTATCTCATCCCCATTTCTTACTCCGTCTGCTGTGCTCTCATTCTTCCAAATCTCAAACCATTGACACTTGAACATGCATGCTTTATTAGAAACCATTTCAGATGCTGGCACATTACATTGAATCTCAGAGATCATTCACACACACACACACACACACACACACACACAAAAGATACTTTCAACTTCTCAAAGTAGGAATCCTGACACGTCTAGAAACGTTTTATCACACCTTATGAAGAACTCTACCAACAACAACTTTACCTCTGATAGGACCTAACTTCTACTTGAGACTACTTATTAGATTACAATGAGTTTAATTCCTTTTTTTTACACAATTAATTTTCCTACTTGTTTTGGTACAAACTGAGACCTAGCTGCTGCCCAGATATGACAACTCCATGTCTTACCGAGCAAACTCTGCATTCTGAAAGCTTAGTTTGTGGGAGGGAGTAGAACCCTTCTCATTCGCTTTGTAAATGCAAATGTTGACATGATTCTTTCTTCTCAGAGACTCCACAGCTCCGCCTGGTGGATGGGGGCAGTCGCTGTGCAGGCAGAGTGGAGATCCTTCACCAGCATTCCTGGGGCACTGTGTGTGACTTCAGCTGGGACCTGAACGATGCCCATGTGGTGTGCAGACAAATGGGCTGTGGTGAGGCCCTCAATGCCGTGCATGAGGCACTCTTTGGGGAGGGATCAGGGCCCATCTGGCTGGATGACCTGAAGTGCACAGGCAAGGAGTCCCATGTGTGGAACTGCCCTTCTCTAGGCTGGGGGCAACACCACTGCACACACAAGATGGATGCAGGAGCCATCTGCTCAGGTATGGCCAGTGAATTCCCCACTGTATTGGAGAATGAAAAGTTCTGAATAAGTGAGTGTCTTACCCTTGGGGGAGTAGGAAATGAACAGTCCAAGGAGGACAGAGAGGTTCTTTCACAGACCCTGAGTGTTCAAAATAGCTGCAAATGATGGGCTTCATTTGTCTTCCTTCTTGTAAACTTCAAATATTATCCTTTCCTTTCTCAATTCTCTTTCTTGATAAGATGGGTTTGTTACAGGATGATTCCTTACAATCAATCTTCATAATTTTGTTTCTCTAATTTACTATTTTGGGGATTACACATAAATTACCATGTACACCCAGTTTGAAGGACTTTTCAAAAGACATGCAAAAATGAGGCTCTATTTTTCTCAGTTTAATTGAGTGTTTATATATGTATAGCCAGAGATATTTTTGCACTGGGTTAATATGTTTATGGGCACGGGGCTGGGATTGAACACCTCACAGGAGAATTTTGGATTACTGCAAAGTTGTAATTCTCCTTTCCAGATTCAGACTTCAGAATTCTTAACACATTGGCAGGAAAAACCAGAGAACTGTGAATGAAATGCTCTGAGTCACAGGCTTTCCTTATTACTACAGTAGATTCTCTCTACGTTTCCTTTTAAAAGCAACATCTGTATAAACTCATACTTAGGAAGGTTAATGTAACCCAGCCCTGGCTAATCAATGTTGAATACCATAAAATATTAATGCATGTTTATTATGGTAAGATATCATGTAGTTTAGGTCCAGGATATTTATTCAGTGATCTCCCACAAATAACACTGAGTAAACTGCTATTCACACACCAAACTAGCTTGATAAGAGACAATAAACCAGGTGAGTACCTGTTTTAGTATATTAAAAAGAAAGACATATTCAAAAGGGAGAAAGATTAAAAGTTTCCAACCTCAAGCAGCCCAGCATGAAGATAGATGCATCCTTCTTGGGGACTGGAAAAGAAATTAAGCTCAGGCCATGGACTTAAAATCTGGGACAAGTCCTGCCAGAATGAAACCTGGTACCCTGAACTGTCCAACACTGGTTGCTATACCAGTGTGTTAAGACTGAGAATCTGGAACTGTGTTTAGTCAGGTAGCAAAGAGACTGTCTCCACCACCACTCCTCCAAAGCTCCCTTGGCAGAGGGGGAAGCAAGACTCCACTTGCTAAGGAGCAGGGCACAAGGCTGGCACAGGACTTTGTCTTGGAGCTCAGTGCCAGGCCCACCATGGTGATACTCAGCACTCTGTAGGAATTAGGGACAGAGCTCACAGGCAGAGCAAGACCTATGTGCTGGTGCAACAGACTCAAGAAGAACCTGTGGCTGGTTGCAGGAGTCTTGGTCCGTCAGTCCACATCAACAGTAGGCAGCTCATAGCACTGAGGGCCTTGGTCCCTCCCCAGTTCTATGTTGCTTTGGCAGGCTGTGGCCTTAGTGTGTGACAGCATTGCAGTGTTGGTGGCCATAGGACCACCCTTTTCTTTGCTTCCCAAAGCCCCAGACAGCACACTATGAATAAAGTAGAGAGTTAAGTCTCTGTTTGGGGCTAAAAATTTAATTGGGCACCTAGATTTGACCTGGAGACTTGGGCTCTTTACATATTATAATACAGCTCCCAAAGAGAAAGATAGAGTCTCAAGCAATCAAAAAGAAACAAACACATAGGAATGGCCTAATTCACCTGATGACAAGTTTCTCACAGTAAACATATAGACCAGAGTAAGTGCCATGAGATTTTCATAGACCTGAAAGTAAAACCTGCCAATCAAAAATTCAGAACACAGCAAAACTATCTTTTACAGACAAAGGAAATATAAAGACATCATAAGAGGGCCCTCCCAAAAATAATTACCATATGATATAGCAATCCATGGCTGAGCATATATCCAAAGGAAATAAAATCAGGATGAAGAGATAGCTATACACCAGTGCTTATGGTAGTACTACCGACAGTAGCTAAGAAATGGAATTAAGTGCTTAAGACCTTGGGTGTAAGGTGGGGAGGGAATCTACATTTGTGTGAATCCTAAGTGTCCATCAACTGATAAATGGATAAATAAAATGAAGTAAATTTACACAAAGCAATACTCTGTAGGACAAAAAAAAAAGAATGAAATCCTTTTATTTACTACAGCATGCATTGACCTGGAGATCATTATGTTTTGTGGAATAACTCAGGCAAAGAAAGAAGAGTGCCTTATAATCACACTATATGTCAAATCTAAAAGAGTTGACCATATCGAATTTGAGGCTGGAATTGTGATAACCACAGGCTGGAAAKTACAGAGGATGGAAATAGAAGGCTACAGATTGATAAATGAATAAGAGTTTTTGCTTAGATAGGAGCAAGAAGTTCTGATGTACCACTGCACAGGAGGGTGACTATAGAAAAAATAATAAACTACATTTCAAAAAGCCATAAGAAAGCATTTGGAAGTTCTCAAGAAAAATAAATAAAGTGTGAGGAAACAAAGATAACAAAATGTATACATACACAAGCACATCTATTTACCCATTGAAATTTATACTATTTGTGTTTTTAGGTATCAGTTCAAATAAATTTAAGGAAACAAAAAGAAAATGAGAAGAAAAGTGGGGGAAGATTATATAGTTTACATCTGATGGGTTCAATGATACAAGAAAAGTACATTGGGAGGTAAATTTGAAAACAATGGGAACAAGGAGACAAACCAAATTTTTTGAAGACGGAGAAAGCTTACAGTATCTGGTGGATGGCAACACAAGGGTGACAAAGAGCACATAAGGATTATCTGAGTCGTGCTTAAGAATCTAGGTGTAAGTTGCGGGGGGAATCTGTTTACATTTGTGTGAATCCTGTACACATTAGCTGTACAAAGTGAGAAAAATTATTTGCAAATGTGGCTCACAGTTGTGGCACTGAGGTCAGAATAGGTGAAGAAAAGTTCCCATGAATGACACATTTTTGAGAAAATCAAAACATTCTCAAGGAAGCAATGTGTTTATGTAGCAAAAGATCAGACGAGGGAAAACCTGACTATAATTTTCAATTTGCTTCAAGGAGAATGATTCATGTAATTCAATATACTTCTGCAGATGGAATTTTTCTTTCTTTTTCTATCCAGGTCTCATAAAATTTTTCCTATAACTTGAAACTTTATGTCCTCACTAGATGTGAACCTTCACAAAGATAAGAATATTATTTCCCTGAAATATACATATCCAGAACCAAAACAAAACCAAAAATGTTTCATGCCAAATGAACATGCCAAGTTTTGGTATGTTTTGAATAAGAAAACATAGAAGGAGACTCTCAAAATAGCCTTTATATACATATTTCCTACATTAGGACTATGAAGGAAGTTTAGATTGTGTCTTCTTTGAAGACCTCTCTGCCTCATTTTTATCCTTTTCCAGTCAGAGGCATTTTTAACCCTACTGGGCCTCCAGTGGCCACTCTCTTTTTCCCTGCTGTGCCTTGATGGGCAGGTCATGATGCCACCTCTGGCTTTCAAAGTGACTGGGAAGCCCAATGGTACAAGGAAAGTTTGGTCTTTGAGGAAGATACTTGGAATTTATGGATTTCTGCCTGGCCAGATACAATGACTGATGGAGACATTCCCATGTACTCTGTTTAGGGTGACGCAGTTCTGTGCCCTAAACAGAATAGTAGGATTGTGGAGTGATAGACGAGAAGATCGGTGGGTACAGAAATGAGGCTTATGGACTCAACATTGAATATTATATTTAAATTTTATGTTTCAAAAAAGCCTCAGTTAGTAGATTTGCTTCATGTTATGTCTCAAAATTCAAAAGAAGAAGCTTCTGATATAAATACTATTTAAAACTCAGAGGGAGAGATGCATGTCAATTATTTCAAGAGACTTGAAAAATGACCATTCTGGGTAAATTCTACCAATTTAGACCTCTTAAATAATGTTCAAGCCTTCATATAGGTTTTCCTCATGATTCAAGAAGAAGGTCTATTCTGAATAAATAATTGATAATTATGTGTTCATACTCTAGTGGCCCAAATGAATCAACTTCAACATTCAGACCTCTGGGATTTTGTGACTATAGACTGTTCAGATTGAATAATAGGTTCCATATGGCATAATAATTTTTTGTTTTGTTTGTTTTGGTTTTTTGGGGGGGTACTGGAGATTAAACTCAGGGGTGCTTAATCATTGAGCCACATCCCCAGCCCTTTTTGATATTTTATTTAAAGACAGTGTCTCACTAAGTTGCTTAGAGTGTCACTTTTCTGAGGCTGGCTTTGAATTTATGATCCTCCTGCCTCAGTCTCCTGAGCCACTGGGATTACAGGCATATGCCACTGCATCCTGCACACATTAGTTTTATTTGAACATATACTTTGTATAAGCCAGAAATGTGCACAGAAAAGTAGACAATAAAATGGTAGTACTATTTACCTCAACCATCTGGTAATGCAGATGAGTAAGGGAAATCATTTTTATCTCCAAATCCCTTTATACTATCGACATATTACCAAAACTGGTATGTATTTTTGCAAATAGAAGTAATGAGGATTTCTAAACCACTATGATATAAGAAATGCCTACTTAGCTGAAGAACTATGTAGACCATAAAAATACCTACATCTGGAATCAATGGATCTGGATTTACAGAAGAATGTATACCTGCTCCTGAACCACACTTTGACTATTCCATTTATATTTCTATKTGTATTTTATATATTTTATATATTTATATTATATATATTTTGACTATTCTATTTATATTTTATATATTAAATGCAACCGAGTAATTCAACCCCTAAGAATAACAAGTGGGGATCATCTCTGTGTAGATGGTAGCTGACTCTAATTTGTACATCAAGTATTTTTAAAAATAAAATGATTAAAGGATTCTGGATGTATATTAGTTCATTAAAAATGCCTAGAAAATTATAAATAATTAATATAGTTTTAAAGATGAATTAAAATACTGTTGAGTTTGCAACAATACTGCCCTCTGAACACCTCAGGATCTGTTCAGCACAATGACAGATGCTCAGTTAATTGTATGAGTACATGTACTGAATGAATTTTGCTCTTCACCCCCTCAGACTACAGTTGGATTAGGTTTCTCTGACCTGTAATGAGTAGAAGAGTAAAGGTGAAATCTGAATTGGATGATCTATTTCTTTATTTGAAATGTTTCTATTTTCATTAATGAAAATTATGCAAAAGTTCTTCACAAAGTTTTGATATTGCAATAGAAATATCAATATTTTCTTAGTCCAGTGCCTAAGAAAAACATTCCCATATAACATTTCAACTGAATAACTCTATAATCAGGTATTCCACTGAATTCTATCAGATAGAACTCAAAATTAATGTTATTCTACCTTTATTGAGACATTCTATATCTTGGGAGCTAGAAATATATCATATACAATGAAAAACAAGAAAATGAAAAAGAAGTAGTGTTTCTGCAGACAAATTTGTGTATCTAATTGATCCAGAACTATAATCAGTCATGCACAACTCATGGTGGTGACGGTGTTAATCCCTAGTGTGGAGATATAACTGAGTGGAAACCAGAATTTACGCAGAAAAAGATCTGGATGCATCCACAGGCAGAGACTATAGTGATAGTTTCTTTTCTGGAGACTGATTTTTATTGTTCCTGTCACTGGACACCAATATTGATAGCTGATTTTTATGATGCCCTGCAGAAGTCTCATGCTTTTTAAAACATAACATCCTAAAGTAGAGTGATTTCATTTTGAAATTTTGTATTTTTATTGTGACTTTCTAAGTAAGGTAGATTGTCATCACTCCTCTGTAATAATGATATAAAATAAAATGACCTTGTAGTCACAAGGTCACAAATCCACACTTGATATTAATACATCAGTTTCAGAGAGAAGTGAAAGTATTCTAATTATAATGCTTTAAGTAAAAATTTTAATAAAATTGATTAATGCTTTGATGTTTGTTCCATTTTGAATATCTACTTTGGAAAAATAAACACTGATCATATTATTCTCTTCAGCAAGATTTCTCTGCAGAACTTCTTCACCACATAAACTTACTATTACATAACTTTTCCATACTTGTGGTGGGATGCCTGCCCAAAGGTCTAAACCTACACTTGAAACCCCTTCTTGATCAGCTTTGATAGAGATCTAATGGCTTCTTCCAACTCTACTTATTAATAACAAAATAATCCCTCAAAACAAAATAAAACAAAAAGGAAAAAAAGCTCAAATCTCTTGACAAATTCTTTTTTTAACTTCTTATCATTCTTCTAAATTCCCTGTCTTCATTAATAGGAAATATGATGTAAAGAACCCTGATTATTTTAGTCAAGATAACCTGGATTCATCTCATTCTCACACTATTTACTGGACTCTTTCCTCATGCCTAAATGGGAAATAAATATAAATGTTCAATTTTTTATACATATTAAATTTTTTTCACTCATTAACAAATGTTAACTTAGTTGGAATTTTTAATGAATAAAGTTTTTGAGAAGAAAATAGTGAAAATTAAGCCTAGTCTTTTTCTACTTGATTTCAAATTCAGTGGGTAGATATAGCTCCTATAAAAACGGAGGTAGAAGAGACAGATATATAAGCAAACACACAGGTATCTTTTTAATATGAAGGATAATATGTTCATACAGAATAAAATAAAAACACACATATTACAACCACACAAACACACACATACTCAAACACAAACACACATAAATATGATATATATGTTATATATAGATACATATAAAGATAGATAGATAGATCTTTATTTATTGAGTCAATCATTCAGAACTGACCTTTTAAAAATCTCCTCATAAAGTTGTGTTCACACATTTGCTCAAGAAATTCACATTTTGGTACCAACTATTGAACACCTTCACCACATCCTGGGGGAAAAGAAAGCTCTCAAGCATTGCCTGTGACATGTAGCTCCCAATTCCAAGACAAGGTACTCATTTTGTTACTTACTTTCTTCCATAGGATTTGTGCGTTTGGATGGAGAAGGTGGACCCTGCTCTGGGCGAGTGGAAGTGAATTCTGGAGAAGGTTGGATTCCAGTATCTGATGGGAATTTCACCTTCCCCATAGCCCAGGTCATCTGTGCAGAGCTGGGGTGTGGCAAGGCTGCACCTGTCTTAGGGAACCTGCCCTTCAGAGAGGACAGTGAACAGGTCTGGGCTGAAGAGTTCCAGTGTAAAGGACAGGAGCCTGGGCTCTGGTTCTGCCCCAGAGTGCCCTGTCCTGGAGGAAGGTGTCCCCTCAGAGGGGCTGTGCAAGTTGTCTGCTCAGGTGAGACCCACATCAGAACTTTAACCTCCCTATGCACTCTGTGGGGAGTAAGAAAAATATGGGATGTAGCTAAAACCCTGTCTTCTACCAGGATACACAGATGTTCGGCTCATGAAAAATGGCAGCTCTCAGTGTGAGGGTCAAGTGGAGATGAAGACCTCTGGAGGATGGAGAACACTCTGTGCCTCCCACTGGAATATGGCCAATGCCAATGTAGTTTGCCATCAGCTGGGCTGTGGAGTCGCCATCTCCACCCCAAAGGGAGCATACTTTGTGGAAGGAGGAGATGAGATCTGGAGAGACCAAGTCCACTGCTCAGGGTCTGAGTCCTTCTTGTGGAATTGTCCTGTGACTTCCCTGGGTGTTCCTGCCTGTGCCCATGGAAACACAGCCTCTGTGGTCTGCTCAGGTAAGAGAGGGCAGGGCTGGCTGGTATTCAGTTTTCTCATTGAGTGACATGGCTCTAAGAGCAGACAGTGTGGAAAGCTGACTTCAAAAACGAGACATTCTGTGGTAAAATAGGATTCCTCTCAATTATCATTCATCTTTCTGGCCCTGTCAAGTGGTATTAAAAGCAATGTTTTTAAGTAAGCCTTTTTATTTATTCAAATTTATGGACAACRATGTATAACAATGAACAACAGCTCTGTCAGGTTCCTTACCCTGGACAGAGAACATTAGAATCTCCCAGAAGTAACCTGCACATCCCTGCAATCACTGTGCCCTCCTCCCTGCAAAGAAGACCACCGTAACTTCTGCTGCCAAAGAAAAATTTTGTCAGCTTTTGACTTTTATGTAAAGTCATGCCACATCTTTTCGACTACTTTGAATCCACATTGCACTTAGAATTCAYTCATTTTGTGTTTGTAGCAGAGCTTCATTTCTTTTTATTGCTGTTTTCTACTGAATGACCACATGACCACATATTAATACATTCACGTGATATTGAGATTTGATGCTTGTTGACTTCTCAAATAATGATACTACCTATTATCATGACAATAGCTTTTGGTCAAATATGTATGTATTTGTATATGGTTTTTAACTCTTGTCCTTTTACTTTCACTCTCTTTAATATGGTCTTCTTTCAAATGTCAAGTATTGTTCTTAATGAAGCACAGCTTATCAACATTTTTGTACACTAAATAGAACTTTTCTACCATAAGATCATAAAGATATTTGCTAACGGTGTGTTATACATGTTTAATTACTTTTCTTTTGCATGTAATTGTTATACTTTATGGTTGATATTGTAAGGGTGTGTATGATGTGAAGAAATTGGCTCCAGCCTTTATTTAAAGGAGAGTACATTAATGGCAGGAATAAGGATCTGGCAGGTGGAGTCTTTCTTCATGGTGGCTTGCAATTAACAGGTTGATTGGAATCTTGGCAAGCCCCACCCATCTCTGAGAGGTTATGTGGCTATGTGGCTCCAGCAAGTCACCCCATCTCCTGTGCTGTGTGGAACCTATGGCAAATCTAGGTAGGAATTCTCATGCATTGGGCAGTCTTAATAGCAGGAGTGCCACTGAGAGTTCCCAGACTTTCCTACCCACTTGCTTCCATGCCAATTGGGGTCATGCACATTTCATGGGTGAATTCTGAGATTCAAACATAATGGATGAGTTGAAATAAGTCTACAAAATATGAATGAATGAATTCTACAAAATGAATACTGGATAGAGATTACTTGATTCAGTTCTTGCAATCTTGTTTCAAAGGCATATGTAAGGAAGCCTGCAATCATAGCAATTTATGAAAAAAGTATCAGAGAGACTGAACAGAGAATATGGGAGCATGAAGCTATACTCTAATAAACTTTCCAAGCAATTGGGTAATGCAGTCTTGTTATATTAATTAAACTGTATTTCCTTATTAAGAGGTTGAATGTTTCTACCACAGTTATTGTACTCATGCCATGCATAAGGTTGAATGACATGAGGCATGGTAGGTGCTGTAGAAACATGTGCATTGAGTAAGAGAAAATTCATATTTAAGTTCAGAACTAAAGAAGGAGTAAAGGTCCAATGCAGGAAGAAGTAGAGCATTTGGTCAGGGTAAATACTGAGGTGGGAGGAGCATAGTGACCTTGATAAATCCCATCATGAGCAGAGCAGGAGAAGGGTGGGAAAGAGATGCATGATTAGTATATAGAGCTAGAGGCCTCTCCAAAGAAAAAGTATAGGAAGAGCTGGAGGCCTCTCCAAAGCATGGGCCCAACAAAAATCCTGTTTAAAAGCTGTTATTCTTCTCATCTGATATATCATGGAGGAGTGCTGTGAGATGAGGAACCTTGACTACCCTTATTTTCACCTTGAATTTATCTCCTCACAATCCCAGAGGTCTTGGTTGATACTACCTCCTTTGAGCCTTTATCCATATGCTACTGCAAACTAATATGCCCACATGTTCTGCATTTTCCTTTCAACATATGTTTCTTTTCTTTTTCTGGCCAACTCATTGAATATTTCTATTTTCAACAATTTATTTTCTTTTATTCCATATTCAGCTATTTGAAATTTGCCCCATGTAAGTTGGTGCCTCTCTCCAGTCTGGTCACTCCCCCTCATCCAGGAAGGCTGAAGTACTAGGCTCACCAGGCTCCTCTGTCTCCTGTTCCTGGTGCTGCCAGCATCCTTGAACACAACTGAGATAACATCCTGGCCTCTCCATTAATGACTTTCGCCCTTTGAAGCACTCCTTCACACCCCATCTCCTTTTATGGCCACACTATTGACCATCACTAACTGTCCAGCTTGAGATCTTGATTGCATTGTTTATTTCCCTAACTATTGCCTCTTCTCTTTATGGCATATATTCTTGGTGCTTCTTTTCCATATAATTCATCATTATGCAAACTCCAAATGTTTTCCCTTATCAGTTTCCCAGTTTTCCACTCTTCTCGTGGTTGTACATGTTCTTCTTACCCTGATTAGACTACATGATGTCCCATTATTATCCTCCTCCTTCAAGTACACTCAACTCCCTGGTTTCTCTCAGTCAAAGACAAGAATAATATTACCTCTCAGTTAACACTATCATGGGATTAATTCACTGATTAGGTTGAGACTCTCATAACCCAGTCATTTCTCTTCTAAAACTTCTTGCATTGTCTCATCAGAAGCTTTTGGAGGACACCTCACATCCAAACCATAAGTCCACCAAGTCTTGAGCAGAGCTAGGTCATGGCTACGTTAAGGTACAAACTCACTCAAGTGGCTGAAGGTGTAGCTCAGTGGCAAAGCACATCCAACATGTTTGAGGCTCTTGGTTTAATCACCATCATACCTCAGAAAGAAGAAATGAATAACAGCAGTATTTAACACGTAAACATAAATCAGCTATATAAATACAGTAATAATCAAACACACTAATAACAACTAAAAATAGATAAAGTAAATAGATAAAGGAAGAATAAATATGGAATGAACAAAAATGTAAATTAATAAAAGGAAAATTAATTTAAAAAGAAAGAAAAATACAAAGAGAAAAAGAGAAATAAAAAACTAAGAAGAAAATTATTTTATTAAAAAAAAGATGAGAAAGAGAAAAATCCATTTAAGGAATTTTTAAAATGCACTAAATACATAATAGTAAGGAAAATATAAAACTTTATAAATTGAAAAAGAAAAAAATTACTTAAAATTCCTTCCATACAAAATACTTGCATGCAGAGAACTCTTTCCTGCTCATTTAACATTTAAATCCACCAGATATGTGGGGTTAGTAGACTAAAAATGAAACCAGTTGCTGTTCCTTTGAGTTCCCATCAAAGTGAGCTAGAATTTAGTTTGAAATGCTGGCTGTACTTTGCTCCTCATTTCCTGCCATGGAGGTAAATGGAATATTGATGGGTCAGGCCATAATCATGTTGGAGGGGTTCTGTTTGCAAACGTAGGGACATAGCAAAAGTCAAAGGCATCACAAGCCCTTCCTTCAGTAGTTTGTGGCGTAGGCACACACTACACCAAAGACCTCAGGCCCATGGGGGCATGCCCAGTGCCCTAGTCATGGCGAATCCCTGGAACGCCTATAAAAAGTGGTGTAAGCAATCAAACCACTGAGCTCCACCTTAGAGGTGGACATAGAAATGGATTGAATCACAAAATGTGGTCTCTGAGCCATCAGACATGGCCTCCATGTGCAACTGTATAAGACTGGAATCACTCCTCTTCACATAGAGATGAACCACATATCAATGAGACCTCAAGTCCCTTCTGTGCCACTATCTCAGTGTGTTTCTGTCAGTCACTTTTCCTGAGACTGAGGTGGTCACTCTTCCACCCTGTCACTGTGGAAGAATCACCCAGAGATACTGAAGTATGATTAATCCAAATTTTATAATCCCAGCACAGTTTAGCCCCTACAATGTGTCCCTTCTCAAGATGGCCCCCACTTATAGCACTCTGAGAACTTGCTGAGCAATATGATCAATTCCTTCTCTAAGGCTTCCTTGTTCTGCAAGAGAAGTCCTTCTCAGAACAACTCCCCAAACTTGATCTTAAGCTTGTAAGAATCATGTGTGTCTCCCACAGATAAGATAGTTGAAGTTGTAAATTGCCTGTACTTTTCTCTGGCAAAGCCTTGTAATGCTTCTCCATATCATTAACATTTCTCATCATTTCTGTATTGGTTCCCAGTGTTCTTCCTCTTTCTCTTCTCAGAATACAGTTTCCCCTGTGTTCCCTGCCTCTTTTTACTTACAGAGTCACAAAGGTACTTCTATTCTGCTATTTGCCTCCTCATCAAGGACTCCTTACAGGAAGTCCAAGAACAGACTAGATATATTTGAGGGTAAAGTAACATTCTAGGATTCCTGGTGGCATTTGGGCAATGTCACTACTTTGACATCATCTATTTGGGGAGGTTGCCCAACCTACAAATTAATTTTCCATGTTTGAACTATGAAGCCTAAACTCATTAGTAAAATATATTGCATTAACTCTGATTTGTCTTATGATCCATTCATTTTTCAGTCTTAATGGCTATCTAATTGCATTTTTTTCCTGGATTCATGGCGTCAACGGAAACACCTGATGATCTCATCCCCATTTCCTACTCCATCCCCTGTGCTCTCATCCTTCCAAATCTCAGGCCATGGGTACTCAAGTGTATGTATTTTATGAGGAAATCAATTCAGATACTGGCCTATTATACTAAATCTTAGAAATCATTAAGAAAATACACTTTGAGCTACTCCATTTCTTCAATTGTTTTGTCACATCATATGCAGAAATCTACCAATAACAAGTTTTACTCTGATCAGATCTACAAAATAACTTCTACCTAAGACTACTCACTTGATTACATTGTATTTTATTCCATTTCTTAATTTTTCACAATTAATTCTCCAACATGTTATGGTAGAAATTGAGACCTAGCTGCTGCCCTAGTATAATGGATGATCCATATCTTACACAGTAACCTCTTCATTCTGAAAGTAATTCTGCAAACTGCTTGGTGGGGGAGAGAGTACCACATGACAAGAGAACCCCTCTCACTCTCTTTGTAAAAACAACCATTGACATGATTCTTTCTCCTCAGAGACTCCACAGCTCCGCCTGGTGGACGGGGGCAGTCGTTGTGCAGGCAGAGTGGAGATCCTTCACCAGCATTCCTGGGGCACTGTCTGTCACAATAGCTGGGACCTGAATGATGCGAATGTGTTGTGCAGACAAATGAACTGTGGAGTGGCCTTGAATGCCTTGCTCTATGCACAATTTGGAGAGGGATCAGGGCCCATCTGGCTGACAGACATGGCTTGCACAGGGGAGGAGGACTCCTTATGGAATTGCCCTGCCCTGGTCTGGGAAAATAACAACTGCGGGCACTCTAAAGATGCAGGAGTCATCTGCTCAGGTATGGTCAGTGCATTCTCCACTACCTAAAAGAATGGAAATTGCCAGGAAATAGTGTCTGATCCCTGGGGGAATGGGAGATGAATTGTCCAGAGAGGACTAAGAGGTCATTCCCTCAATTAGTGGAATCAAGGATAGCAGCAAATGATGGGTTTCATTTATAAAATGAAATTTTATAAGTTTCATTTTGTCTTGTAAATCTCTAATAGTGTCATTTCACTACTCACCACTATTGTATGACAAGATATTTTTTGTAGAGTATTTCAACTTAAAATCAATCTGCATAATTTTGTTTCTCTAATTTACTATTTTTAAGATTAGCACACAAGTTAGCATACACACTCTGTTTGCAGTGATTTTCAAAGAACAAACAATAATGAGGCCCTACTTTCCTCGGTTGAATTGAGTGTTTGTAACGTAGAGTCATAGATATTTTTGCACTGGGTTAGTAGGTATATAGGCACAGGGATTAAACACATCACAAGGGAATTTATGGGCTACTGGAAAGTTGCAATTCTCCTTTCCAGATTCAAATATCACAATTCTTAGTTTATTGGTAGGAAGGGCCAGAGAACTGTGAGTAAAATGTTGTGAGTCACAATCCTTCCATCAGTACTACAGTAGATTCTCTCTACACTTCTGTTTCAAGCAATTTCTGTATAAACTCATATTGGGAGGTAAATTTAACACTGTGCTCCTAGATCAATGTTGAAAGCAATAAAATATTAATGCATGTTTTTTATGGTAAGAGATTATGTAATTTAGGACTCAGATAGTTATTAAGTGATCTCCCACAAATATACCACATAAACAGTTTTTCACACACCAAACAACTTGATAGGAGAAAATTAACCCAGTATATGAAAAGAAAAGAAACCAGGTAAGTGCCTGCTTTTATGATGATAAATATAAAAAGGAGTACTGAAGGAGAAGGGAAAATAGGAGTTGCCCTTTCCCGTAATCCAAGCAGCCCAGCGTGAAGGAAGATGCATCCTTCTTGGGGAGTCTCAAGCAATCAGAAGAAATAAACAACACATTAGGTTGTCCTAACTTACTTTACAGTGAACTTCTCAACAGGAAATATGTAGACCAGAAGTGAGTGCCATGAAATTTTCATAGAACCAAGGGAAAAATCTGCCAATCAAAAATACAGAATACGGCAAAACTGTCCTTTACAGAGAAATACAAAGACATTATCAGATAACTCCATAAAAAGTTAACATATAATGCAGCAATTCACTGCTGAGCATATATCCAAAGGAAATGAAATTAGGATGTTGAAAAGACATCTGTACTCCCATGTTTATGGCAGCGCTACTGATAGTAGCTAGGAAAGGGAAACAATGTAAGTGTCCATCAACTAATACAGGGATACAATGAAGTACATTTACATAATGGAATACTCTTCATCCAAAAAAAGTGAAAAATAAAAAGGAATGAAATATTTTATTTGCTGCAGCATGCATGGCCTGAAGATCATTAAGTTAAGTGAAATTAATCAGGCAAAGAAGGACAAGGGTCTTCTGATCTCACTATACATTGAATCTGAAAGAGTTGACCTCATAAAAGCTCAGAACATTAGACTAGAATTTGATTACCATAACCTGGAACGTGTAGGGGCTAGAAATGGAAAGCTTTCAATTGATCAATTAGTAATAGCCTTTACTTAGATAGGAACAAGAAGTTCTGGTGCACCATTGCACAGTAGGAAGACTATAGATAACAGTAATGAACTTTTTTTCAAAAAGCCAAAAGAGAGCATATTAGAAATACATACATCAAGAGATCTATTTACTCTATTAATAGGTATACTATTTGTGTTTGGGCATCAATTAAAATAAATTTAATTTAAATTTAAAAAAAGGAGAAAAATGCTACAGTTGAAAAGATATGGGGGAAAATTATATAGTTTATATGCAATGGATTCAATAATATAAGAGAAATGCATTGAAAAGTAAATTTGATAAGAATGAGGAAAATGGAAGAAATAAAACTTTTAAGGGAGACAGAGGAAGTTTAAAGTGTCTGGGGAATGGCATTTGAGAGTTGAAAATATTACATAAGGATTATCTGAGTAGCACAGAAGACAGTGGTGTATTGACTCCGTGTAATCTGTGTAAATTCTGTACACCCTTGCTGTGTCAAAAAAAGAATAATTTGTAAGATTGACTCAATGTTGAGATATTGAGGTTAGAATGAGGGGAGAAAAGGCCCCATTGATGACATCTTTTAAAGAAACTTGAAACTTGCCCAAGGAAGCAATGTGTCCTTGAAGCAAAGAATCAGACAAGGATATATCTGACTGTGAATTTGAATTTACTCTAGTGAGAATGATTCATGTGAATCAGTGGACCTCTACAGATGCAGTTTTTCTTTCTTTTTCCAACCAGGTCTCTCATAAACTTCAAATGGCTTGAAACTGTTTGGTTTTATCTGTATTGTTTCCTTGAAATATATATACATCCAGGACCTAAAAACATTTCTGGATCTTGGCAAATTCTGAAAAGACATTAGTACTTCAAATTAGAAAACATGGAGGCAGATTCTCAATTTCTCTTCAAATACCTCTTTCCTGTATCAGGCCAGGGTTGGAAGTTTAGATTATATTTCCTTTGAAGCTACTCTGCCCCATTTTATCTTTCCTGATTACAAGCATTTTTCCTCATTTCTGAGGTCCCTTAACCACTCTCCTTTTCTCCCACTATCTCTCAAAGTGAAAGTCATGATGCCACTTTGGCTTTCAGAGATGACTGGGAAGCCCAAGAGAACAGGCAAGTTCAGTCTTCAAGGAAGATACTGGAATTATGTGGACCTCTGCCTGGCCAAATATCACATCTGATGGTGATGTTCCCACCTACTCAGGTGACATGGTTCTGTGCCCTAAAGAGTATAGTAAGATTGTGAAGTCATGGGTGAGGAAACAGATGGATGCAGAAACAAGGCTTATGATCAAAACCCTAGAGAACTGGTTGTATGCAGATGAGTCCCAGCTACAGGCAGGGTGGAGGAGGCAATCTTGGTCTTAGTGGAATAAATAAAGGGTAATCTTTATTAAAGATGTTGGAAATCAACCCTGCCACTCTGCMTCTTTTGTTGGCCTGGATAGATTTGAGCCCAAAAGTTCTAATAGTGATGAGAAGTGAGAGAGGCATTACCACAAGATGAAAAAGCTCTAGCTTTGTAAAAGCTGGAATGTGGAGAATTGGGGATCTACCAGGACCTGGCACAGGTACAGAAAGAGTAGTTTCCTGAAGTCCAGGTTTCTACATACCCTCCTGGGACTTGATTGAAGTGTTTGTAAGGTAGAGGCCACCTCTGTGAAATAAGAGTAGAGATGAGGCACCAAGGATCAAGGCACACAATATATCCCTGCTGTTGAGGACATGGAGGGGGGATTCAAAAAGGGAGGGAGCTGAAGCAAGAGGAGCTATCCTTGAGAGGCGTAAATGAGGTCCCAGTGGAAAGATCTGGACTACACCATATGTCTAACCTCTAACAAGTCACTTACTCTCCCCAGGTTCTGTCTTCTCTGTCAAGACATAAGGACATAAGCACAGGAGTATCTTTGACAATATATCATTTTTAGTAACTTTTAACACATTTAACACTGTCAACAGCATTTATCACTATGGATCTTTAAACACAGCCTTGAAAAAGGGCAATTATGTTGAGGTATTTAGGAGAATTTACTGGAGATATTTACTGGAGAATTCAGATAGACAGATTTAATAATGGAAATTGAGACTGAGAATGGATTTAGGATAAATATCACAGTACTTCATTTATTTATACAGGAAGCAACCAACACGCAGACCTTGCCTGTGAGTTGCCTATCTGTCTGTTCCTATTAGAGAAGCCACCAAAAGAGTCTATTTGCTGCCATGTATCAAACACATTCTGCACGTTTAGTTCTTATTAATGCCAATCCTCCAAGTTCCTTAGGCCACAGAGGAAGACCATTTTTCTTGGTTGGTTGCTGTGGGCCAGATGCATTCTCCTTTGGAACTGAAGCATGAGTGTGTCTCTATCCTTCTGATTTATAACACAGAAAGCAGAATTTGTTCTCTAGTGTTTAAGATGTAAATGGCAAATCTTAAGGTTTTAAAGTTACTTTTATTTGTTTCTGTGTTGTTCCATTGGAGTTTTCACGGAATTTGGTTAATTATATTTATTCTCCATTCAGTGGTTCTTGGTAAAATTATTCTTTTTCTCCTGTCCCTCCTACATAAAGATAAGTCCTGATATCTTTCAGGTGAGATTAGGGAGACTGATTTCCTTTACGAGGACAAGGAGCTGGGGAGTGGCCTTCAGTGTCAGCATAGACTTCACCTTGAAAATTCACCTCCTCTTCTCAGATGAGTCAGACACAAGATGGGTAAGGATCCCAAGTCATTTAGGCTCTACCATGACCCTCATATTGAGAAATATTAGGCACAAGACACAGAAAAAATGTTGATACTGTTTCAAACAAACATATAGACAGCTCTGGTGAACCCAAAATCTATGTACCTCACATGACAATCTCTATGGAATTATTTCAATATTAAGAATTCACATGTCATTAAAATACCAGTCTCATGCAGATATTGAAATGTCCTTACCATGCCTCGTGTAATTTCCAGTGTTTGTCATGATTGAAACAACATGCAACCATGAGGAAAAACAAGGGACCTCATGATTTTTTTCTTTTTCTTTTCATGTCATTGTCATCAATCACTGCTTAGTCTCGTGAGACTAAGACAAGTGTCCCTCCTACCCATCTTACTACTCCTGGACAGTTGATTAGACTGGGACATGATTCTGTCTTCTAAGTGTGATATTTCATAGGAAGAGATTCAAAAAATCTTCACTGAAGCATCACAGATTTAGAAGAAGGGCCAGTTACTATAGCAGAAATGAAGTGGAGAATTTTCATCTTGCCGTTTTGCATTGAATTCTTTAATCATTTTCTAAAGCCTCTCACTCACACTCCTAATCCAACCTGACTCTCATTCTCAGAAG